TTTTTTTTTTTTTTTTTTTTTTTTTTGTTGGAATGATTGATTTGCGAATGATTTCTATGTTCATGATACCCATGGAGAGTAAAAGTAGAGGAGTTAAGACAGAACTGTGAGAATTATACATTTAAAGCAACACCGGCTACCGCCGCCTTGTTATATAGAGCCATGTTAGATAGTGTCAGCCCATGCAGAGGCATTAAGATGGAATGCCTCCATAATCGCAGCCCTGGCAACTTCATCATCAACCGCTGCCTTCTTCTTTTCATCCATAAGCACGCCCAATTCCCTAATACGCCGAGCCACCTCCGCCCACTGTACTCTCTGACCATGATTTTCCTCTTTAGCCTCAATATCAGGTGCAATCAACACATCCTTGAGCTTCCCACCCTCCTTCCGAATCACTCCATCAACAATAACGGCATCAATGTCCCGAATCGAACTATGAAGAACAATGGCCGCAACCGGATCCCGATCCGCAGCAACCAGCAGACCGGGCGAAGTAGCATCATAAATAACAATATCCGCCTTCTTGCCCACCGACAAGCTCCCAATCTCGTTCTCCATGTTGATACATCGAGCACCGTGGATCGTTCCAAGATTGAAGACGTCCCTTACACTGGTCCCTACATCCTTCGCCCACTTGCTGTGCGCTTCGAACTCCTCGTGTCGTCTTGCGCGTGCCCACTGCAGCACAGTCGACATTTGAGTCGGGATATACGATGTACAGACACTATGGCAGTCGATTCCCAGAGATGATATTTGCTGGTACTCGGGATAGAGGCAGACCGGGTTGCCGTGACCCATCTGGAGTTCAGTGATGGGCGTGCTAGAGATCTTCGCTCCTTTGTCACGGATTAGTTGGGTGTGTTCTGGTTTGGGGTTGGTGTTGTGTGATAGTAGGATGTCAGGGCCTAAGAGGCCGTGGGAATCGAGTTGATTAGCCGCCGATGGGGCATTTGGACCTATATATACATTCAGTATAATATTTTGAGGCCAGGGAAAGCGTCATGGAAGACAAAAGTGGAGTACAGCCAGTCGAAGGACATACCTCCGAACGCAACGCCGTAAACTGAATGGGAAGTGATGAGCTGCGCCCCGGCGCGACGGACTCGTCCGTATACTTCCTTCAGGACTTCCCCGGGGAGATAGAGCATATCGAAGGCAAATCCCAGCCGGACTCGTCCAGATGGACCAAGTGGGTTCATAGCCGCGAGTTGGTCAAATGTTTCCATGACCCATGGGGCGAGTGGATCTGGGGCCATTTCAAACTTGGGGCTCCATTGGGTTACCCGGGCAGTTGGACAGTACCCGAAGATTGACCTGATTCCAGAGGAGATGGTTGCCCGGATAGCTTCTTTAGCTACGATACGTCAGAACTTTACAATGCGTGGATGATCATGTTATGCGAGTAGTGGATGGAACTTACAATGATCCGGCGTAATATTGATATGAGCATGGTCCACTACAGTCGTTGTTCCACTGTCGATACACTCCAGCGCACCGGCTAGCTGACCCCAGAAGGTCTCGTCGGCTGATACGAAAGAACTAACGAAATTGCCAGTGGGGAAGTAGTCGAAGAGGGTGTGGTTTGGGTGCGTGGCTTTCAGACAAGTCTGCCATACATGATGGTGGGTGTCGATGAACCCTGGCGAGACAATTTTGTCCGTGCAGTCTATGATTATTGTGTCGGACGATGGCGGCTCAATGTTCGGAGCGATCTTAGTGATTTGCGACTTCTCGATTAAAAGGTCCTCTTTCGATGCATGAACGACGTCATTCGCATCGTGGAGGAGAAGTGTACCGTTCTTCAGGAGGATCGCGGAGGCCATTCTGTACAGAACCCAACCTTATGACGAATAAAGTGTGTAATGCAGTATTTATAGTGCGATATAACTGAATACATGGGAGCACGTCGTGATGTATAAGAATGTCAGCTTGTTCGGCCTTCGGCTCTTCGGATTGGCCGTGGAGACCGTCTCATTACTCATACGGACTCATACGGCCTCCCGTCGGACTTAAATGTGGAGATGATAAATGCTTTCTACAAGGGCGAGACCATAAGCCTCCATGCTTACAGTACTGTGGAATGAGCTTGGCTGTTTCCTGGAATGCTGTCCAGTTGCTCTTCAACGGCCGACCCCCGAGACCCACTTTGCCCTAAGTAGATATCCTCAGATGTTCAGGTACTCAACAGATCCTTTCATAAAGAAGCCAAGATGGGATGCTCATGCGATAGCCACTGCACCACCTGCAATGGTTATATGATATTTAGCTAACTTAGGGCCGGCGCCTTAGCCTTTGACGAAACTACTATAATACTGGAGCATTATTATGCTCCACCTGCAGCATCATGACATACGTAACGTATTAGTATGTATGCGCTTACTACTAGTAGCAGGTACTCCTTCCCCTCACGCTGTTGCATTGCCAGATAAAGGATCTTGCATGACCCCATGTTTATAAGACATTGGCTGGCCAGTCATCGTTCGCACACGACTGTTTTAATTTTGTACAGACACCCTTGAAGCCAGTTTTGAATCAAACATCTAGGGATGGTTGTCCTGGGTTGTGCCAATAACTGGCTCAATCTTGCTACTTCCTATCCGTGGCCAAAAGACTATAACCAGGATTCTGCTGGCCAGAACTTGCCTGTCTGTATCCTGGTAGATGGTTGTTTGGGCGGACAAAGTATCGGTTTCAGTCCATGTTTCTAATAAAAGTCGGTGGTTTTTTGAATATATCGCCTCGCGCCTATCATCTCTCATGACATGCGATCGCCTCACAATTGAGCCAGTACTAGGCGTACATTAGCAATTTACTAAGGGTGTGTAAACTAGTTCCATACGATGCCTGAATATCTGTGGTCTCAGCCCAACTGTGTTGAGTTGCTGGTGTTCAATCCGCTCATATTTTGTTGAACCATCTGTCTTCAAGAACCTATTTTGCGGCCGGCCTGTCCCTTGGATCGGGTTTCATGATTTTCAAGATGAGCTCTTTGTCTTCTGTTGTTATTTCCTGCTGACTAGCTAGCGACAATAGTTCCATTTCAACAATTTCACAGGTGGCACATCATCCATGATAAGTGATAGGATGTCTAAGGTCTCTTGATCAGTGAGGTCAGCATATGAAAGCGGGTACGGTCCAAAATAGGTCTGGTATCTGGAGAGAATCTTTAGTTCGCATTCAAGGGGAACTTTGGGTTTGAAAGATGAGGTTGGCACCCTAGATTAAAAAAATAAGCTCAATAATAGGTTGTTAGAGGAACCAAGATAAGCATAAACATGAGGCAACCACCAATGTTCCAAATGTCCAAATATCAGTTGGTGGCCCCATTGCCATTCCAATTGTTCCTCTGTGCTCCTCCAGACGGGCTCCATATGGGCGTACCAATCCCGACGCGGTCCCTGCAGAAGCTGGAGGTTATTTGGACTGTGCTCTCAAGGTCTGCAAGCTGGACATCTGTGACGCGTTGCCCACTAAGTTAACAGTGTAAGGTTCACTAAAACGTTATATACTTTGATATCTGCGGAGGAATTTCCAGTCAGAACTAGCACCTGCAGTCAGAGGCTTACTCGAAGCAAAACCTTCACCGGTGAGCATATAGCCATCTTCATGTAGCACTTTCAATGCTTCAAGAATCCGCTGTGACACATGTCTCATCTTCCTTCGGACGAGCGACTGAGGATTTGGAGCGAGAAGATCGCTCTCCACATGTTTCATAGCAATAGCTGATGGGTCAGATGGTTCGACTATTTCATCAATCAAGGTACGCAGATGCTGTGTCTTGAGCTGGAATTTCCGAAGGACATCTCTTTCATAATGGATGCGGAAATGATGGGCGGATTTAATTACGAGAGTCTGGCCGACTTTGTTCCTATTACCGAAGAAATGTACGTAAGTACATTATTTGCGATTGTTTTCGAGGCTCATGCGAGATTTGATTTGGAGCGCAAGTCACATCTTGAAGTCATTTGGGGCCAAAAGGCTTAGATAAAGAGTGGATCGGCGGCCGTAGCTGTAGCTCAATTCTCAACAAGATGATGCATGACAACGTAAGTAATGTGCTGCAGCTAAAATCTGACCAGTGGCAAGTGATTCATATCTATCATGTAATTGGTAGGATTTTAGTTACTCAACGGTTGAGCGTTAGAGAAGGTCAATCGGCAGATGCAGGAATCGTTAACTGTTTAGTCAGGTCTAAAGATGGACGAGAAGCACGGACCCCTTGCGACAACCTATCACATGCGAGCCGATGTCTGCATGCCTGAAGCTTAGGTTTGAGACCAGAATTAGTTAATGTATGATTGAGATGAAAGATGAATCTCCATACTCCGTACAGAGTAGTCCAATATTAATTAATGACAACCGGTTATCACCAACCATTACCTAATGCTATATCAAGGATTCCCCATTGTACTATTCCGGATCAATCTAGTAGGACGCTAAACCGCAACGAGTGGACCCGACGATAAGTCACGGTTCCTCTCGTGATAAGACTTTTCTTAGTCAAAGCTCTGGCCGATAACAGGAAATCCAGTCCATTTCCACCGGCCCCCTCCCTCATACTCCTCTTCTGGACTGACCTCGCTCGGCGTATCTCTGCTAAATGGCTCCTCTAATGTCTTATTCTCCTTCCGCATTTACTTTTTTGCTTCTTCGGTAGTCCAAATAATGTCAATTGCTCCCGTGGTCTGACTGACACTTGCGTCATTCGGGATCACCGTTTTCTCCGCACCCAGCCTTTTAGTCGAGCGTCCAAAAAGGGAAGAGTCACAAACGCCCGGGGCCTTCTGATCCCTGTCAAAGAATCAGATCCTTCCAGCCGGCACTTACGCGACTCTGACGACCACGATGGGTGTCTTCCGTCCACGAGGCCGCAGCGACTCTCGCGTGTCCGGGCTACCTTTCCGCCGGTCTCCCTTTGTTGATGATGAGGCTCCAGATGCGATTGAGCCTCCTGTAGAGCAGGCCAACAATGGTAGTCCTCCGAGAACACCTTTGGGGATCGAGTCCCTTGTATCTGGCGGGACAAGCCACAGGACGCCAAGTCGTTCCTTCTACCACCGATCCTTCAACAGCACTGCAGGTGTGAACCGGAGCCTTCCCTGGAAACGCAATGGCTAGTTTGGAGATTGTTGTTTGACTGACTGTTAAAGATCCCGCTCGTTATTCATCTCAAGGTCTTCGAGAACAAACCGCTGAACTGGCTTCTTACGCGCTCTCCCTGAATGGAAGCTCATTGCCTCAAGAAGGAAATACGCTGCCGCCGTCCCTCGATATCTTTCATCCGATCCAAGATACAGATCTCTCTTCATCACCCGCAGACACTGTAGTCCCAAAGCCTCTAGACACCGAGCCCCCCACTGGCCCTATCGCTAGTTCATCAGCCTTGACTGAGATGATCCGTAAACCTTCCGACACTTTGGACGGTGTCAATGGCCGGGATAGTGCTCCAAAGCTGAATGAACTTGGTGAAGGTGATGCTTCCGTAAGAATCTCAGGCACGGCGCCCGGCACACGTGAAGCTCCTAGTACCGAACAGACATCTTTACTACCTAAGTCACCACATACGAAGCCCTTCCGTAGTTATGGGATCGCCGAAGATGTTGAGAGTCAAGACACTATTAGGGAACACAAGCAGAATGCATTTCGTACAGCGCTTTCGAGCTGTATGATTTGCTTCCAAGGGCTCATGCACCCAAAATCATGGAATGGGCGGAAGGTCTGGGAACAAGGTGTCATCTACCCTGTTAGTCTACTGCCTTCGGTGTTCCTAGGTCTCTTGCTCAACATTCTTGACGCTCTATCATACGGAATGATTTTGTTCCCTCTGGGGGAGCCAATATTCTCTGACCTTGGGTCAGACGGTATCTCCATGTTTTACGTTAGCACCATCATCGCCCAACTGGTCTTCTCGTCTGGAGGGTCAATATTCCGCGGCGGAATTGGTAGTGAGATGATAGAAGTTGTTCCGTTCTTCCACCAGATGGCCTTCACAATTCTGGCACGTGTAGGCCAGGACAACCCAAGGTCTGTCATCGCAACTACTATTCTATCATTCTCGGCCAGCTCGGTCTTAACAGGTTTGGTCTTCTTCTTGATGGGAACTTGCAAACTAGGCTCCCTCATCGGTTTCTTCCCAAGACATATCTTGATCGGGTGTATTGGCGGTGTGGGCTTTTTTCTCTTGATGACGGGTGTCGAGGTTTCCGCTAGACTACCTGGATCTCTCGAGTTTACTCTCCCTACTTTGGAGAAACTTTCTCGTTCAGACACGGTACCCCTTTGGCTCGTACCATTATTACTTGCCATTGGTCTCCTTGTTATGAAGCGTTTCGTGCGCTCTAACTTTCTGGTGGGTGGCTATTTCATTGGCGTCGCAGTCATATTTTACATCGTGAAGTTGAGTGCCAAGATACCAATGGATACCTTACGCAAGAGCGGTTGGGTATTTGAAGCACCATCATCTAATAACCCGTGGTGGCACTTCTATACACTCTATGGTGAGTTTTTCCTGCCAATGATCGATGTAATATTCCTGACCGTGTTAGACTTCGCTGCCGTCGACTGGGCTGCCTTTCTTGATACTATCCCGGCGATGTTTGCTCTTACTTTCTTTGGAGTACTTCATGTTCCCATCAACGTCCCAGCGCTAGGTATATCCACGGGCGAAGACAATCTGAACGTTGACCGTGAGCTTATGGCACATGGTGTGACCAATGCCCTGTCAGGATTTTCTGGAAGTATACAGGTATGGTGGTATCCCCTCCGTAACAGTTATCGTCATGCTAAACCTCCTTAGAATTATCTCGTCTACACAAATAGTTTACTTTTCATCGATAGTGGCGGAAATTCACGTCTCGCAGGTATCATGCTTGCAGCCGCTACCTTGGGGATTCTCCTCGTGGGACCAGTAATAGTCGGATTCATTCCAGTCATGGTCGTGGGGGCTCTCATTTTCTTACTGGGGATTGAACTGATGGAAGAAGCGCTAGTTGATACGTGGGGAAAGTTACAGAGGCATGAATATCTGACGGTAGGTTCTATCTAAAATTTCCCACGGCACTTTAAACTAACTTGGCAGGTCGTCATCATTGTTGTCACTATGGGCGCTTGGGACTTCGTTGTTGGCATATTCGTCGGTATTATCCTAGCGTGTATGAGTTTCGTTGTTCAGACATCCCGTAAATCTGCCATCAGGGCGACGTTCTCAGGCAAGATTGCTGGCTCAACTGTCCGACGGCCTCCGATCCAACAGCGATTCTTAAGAGAAGCAGGACAGCAGACACTCATTATCAAGCTTGGGGGCTATCTATTTTTCGGAACCATTGTCGACGTCGAGAACACAATGAGAGGGTTGATTGAAGAGGAAGCTTTTAACAAACGTCCTATTCGATTTATTATTTTGGACTTCTCCCGTGTGTACGGCATCGACTTCTCTGCAGCTGAAGCCTTCACGCGTATCAATCGCATTCTGCGAAAGCGAAACGTGCTGATGACCATCTCAGGGCTGAACACCGGGGGAGACGTCGGCAGAAGCCTTCAAAATGTCGGGCTATTCGAGTCAGGAACTAGCGTGCAGATATTCGAAGACTTCAACTCTGCACTTGAGTTCTGTGAGAATGACTATTTGAAGGTCTTCTACAGCCACCGCGAAGCGTTGCTGAAGAAGAATGCGTCCTCAACGTTCCTAGAGGTACCTGGCTCACACAACCAGCGGCATCTTCACGAAAGTATCGTGGGCTCCCCTCGTCACCGGCATCTCCAGCAAGCAGCTACTACGACCCTACGCGAGGATGAGACGGCCGTGGTGGCTCCGACAGCCTGGGCCTCCATGCGACAGCCCTTACCACTCTTACTCCAGACATTTCAAGGGTTAACTTCGCGCAATGAGGATTTCTGGTTCCGGGCTTGCACATATTTTGTCCGTGACACCTACGCAGCTGGTACCGTATTATTCCAGGAGGGCGACGTTCCCAATGGCTTCTACTTGCTTGAATCCGGGATGCTTCGTGCGGAATATGAGTTGCCACAGGGGCGGTATTTCGAGCTGATTGTAGCCGGACGGCCGTGCGGAGAATTGCCGTTCTTCAGCGAAACCCGACGAACGGCCACAGTCAAGGCGGAACAAGAATGTGTCGCCTGGCGTTTGACTACAGCCAAATGGCGAGATTTACGGGAGCGGGAGCCCGAAATTGCCCGGGAACTGCTGACAGTCAGTCTGAAGCTGACCACTGAAAGAATGGACAGCATTACTTCGTAAGTCGTCTTCGCCTTATTCTGCACTTAGTTTAGGCAACACTAACCCGATTCAGTTATGTTCTTACAATGGCGGCTTAATGATGCCATCTTTCTGTTTCTCTAACTAAGCATGCTTGGGTAGGTCAGGTGTACAAATTTCTCGCATTTGTCGCATATTGTTGGTCATTATTTGAGCGTTATTTTTTTTAGCATTTGGCATATATGATACGTGGATTTGTTGAAATATGATCGCACATATTTGTCTATACTTGGACACGTGCTTCTCTGGAGCTGATGACGCAGCCTCCACATGACACTGCAGCTGACAGGATAAGAACAACGGAAACCCGTGACTTCTGTTGACCTATCTCCTGCCTACGGGCTAGAGGTTTGGAGGGACCCAACGTATAAGTCGTAAACCTGATACTCACCCGAGAGATAGGACCATTCTTTATCTGTTTCAAGATTTCGAGTGGCTGATATGGAGATTATCGCTGCGGGGTAGATTTGATTGCCAGATGTACTACGGAGTATGCCCGGGGCTCTAAGATAGACGTCTGAAAGAGGAAATAGGGGATGGCGCAATCTTGATATCAGATGGATACCATTCTGACAATGATCCCTTTGTGATATAATGAGAGCCAATTTGCGGACAATATCGGAATACTACAGTACCTATGCTCCGTTCCTATGCGCGGCGTTACGCTCTTCCCCGGCCATAATCTCAAGAACACCACAGATACATATGTATACCCAACTACCAAATTGTAATGAGGGTTGAATACCAACACTGGCAAAAGTTTTATACATTCTGAAACGCCACAATCTGCCACAGATACCTATAACGATCCAGTATTGCACTTCAAACCCCCGGCACTAAACAGGTCCAAGATACAGGCGGAACTTCGGAAGACATGAAGCACCCTCGTCCTTGTCCACTGGACAACGATAGACACGGGCCAAAGCAACGATCATCAGATCGACAGTGGCCTGATTGGTTGGGTTGGTATCGTCCGTTGGGCTCGAAACGGTCCATAATGGAAAAGGGGGGAGTGGATCGTCTTGCTGAGACTAGTAAGAACTAAGTTAACTTAGTTCCTATTACTAACCACGACACTAATTAACTAGTTACCTTGGGACCAAAGACCAACCTACGAAGCTCCAATACTTGGTAGTATTACTCCGAAGGGATTAGGGGGCGTGTGAAAGGGCTTTTATCTACGTATCTGGTGTTTGAGGTTGAGTTTCCTTTTATTAATTTTTTTGGGGTGTCTGGTCTTCTTCTTTTTTCGCCACATCGCCAGATCAATTAAAGTAATTCGTTTTTAGCTTCTGTCGCTATTTATTGAAGTCACCATATGTAAGTACTCCATTGTCGCTGAAGAAAAGAAAATCCATGACGAACTCATACTCCAAACGTACGTACGACATACATCCGTGCCTCGCACCCTACCTTCTAAGCGAGCATCGAATCTCCTGCAGGGATGGCTTGACACCACCGCGAAAATGCATTGATAGGGCTGCGACAAACATTCCTGCGCGACAATAGTACCGCGCCAGGGTGGGGCCTCGACCTTTTACCCACCATGGCGCTACGAGGATGGCTATCGAGCCACGTCCTGAAAATCCGAGTGTCGATTTTAATTTATAGTCAAATAATCATCGTCCATACCCAATTTTATGATTTGTGCCTTCTCTCTCGCTAGAAAACTAGACTAGACGAGACTAAATTTCAGAAAAAGGTAAAAGAAAGAAGAATAGATGACGTGATAGGGGTTTTGTTTCTTCTTCTTTTTAATTTTCTGTTTGAGGATCTGTTGTTTCTGTTGGCCTTTTGGTGGTGCCCTTTTTTGCTTTTTTTTTTTTCCTGCTACATGTGACGTTTAGGTTGGCTGGACAAGAGTACTCCGTTAGTTCAGTCAAGAATGGAATCGTCCTTTTCTTCTTCGATTGGTGTCACTGCCTTACCGTGCAAGTAAATCACCGGACAACCCTGGTTTGCGCCATGTTGAAGGGGGGTGTCTTTTCTTGTTCATTGGATGGTAATTCCGGTCACGGGTTAGGATTCGATACTCGAGTCGCGTGGCCCGGCCTTCTCGACTTCCAATGTGGTTTGCCTGTTGAACTATCTTCTGTCTGTATCTCTTCCTCGGTTAGAACGTACTACTCGGGATGCGAACACTGGTTAAAGGTTGGGGTTTGTGCACTGATGGTTGGTTGGTAAGTGCGATGTCGAGGGCTCTTGTTTAGGTATATATTACCTGCGATTAAGAACAGCGCTTGCACATCCCTCTCCCAAGGAAGCAGGTCGGGAAAAAGCCACCAGGGTATGGCCTGGATATGGGATAGAGGGCCAGAGTAATCAGGTTAATAAACAAGGACTAGGCTAAGTTAAGTAGACTAACGCAAAAATGCAGACTAAGTTACTTGGTTAGCTTGTTTTTGGAAAATTTCTGTAAGAATCGAGATCGTTGGTGGATCCGTCAGGACTATGACCTGCGGTGGTCTGGTCTTTTTTTATTTGTGTTTTTAATCCATTTTTGCTCGGTCCAGGGTCAAGTCAGGGATAGGGAGTGGGTTTGATACTAGTAATATAGAATGTTACATCGCAGTTAGGTAGATATATACTGTGTATGTACCTAAGCGCAAGAAAAATATGGTAGGTTTTGCAGTCATATTGTTAACAATCACAGGGACAATACAATGTATTGGCATGTAAAGGGAAGCCAAAGGAAATTAACTGTTGAGGTAAGTAGCCGAAGGATGAACTTCTTTTTTTTTTTTTTTTTGGTGGTGCTGCTTCAAGTACTGCTATCATGAGGATACACAGACCATATGACTCAAGGTAACACGGTTCAACCACAATAACCCACTCAGGTTGATCTCGAAAAGAGTCTCCATCCATGGTACAGCTCCCGAATGGGTGGCTCGAGGTCCCACAACGCGGTGAGCGGATGACATGATCTAAAACATTGGACTTTGCTGGTGGTTTGATCTGGTGTTAGAAGCCCTAAAGAACTTTTCAATCTTGGTCACTGTATTCCATTCTCAGTAGATAGAGTATTCCCTGCTCAAAGGAAAAAAATTTTTTGGTTTACGTTTGGAGGGGGAAGAGAATAGCGGAATGATCGGTAGTTGATTAGGGCTACCCGTTAAGCTGCAGGAGCGGTAGGGGAGCTACAGTTCAAGCTACTGGTCGCTAAGCTGTCATAGTGTCGTTAAGGTCCCAGGAGTCTCATCTCCTTTTTGGACCTCTGGAACGACTTGGACTGGATAGGGGTTGCTAGTCTATGTCTATCCTTATTCTCCCATGAAGAAGTTTTGATTTGACTGGATTTAGTTTCTGGTTCTAGACTAAATTAGGGAAATTTGCCATCATATATACGAGAGAATCGTTCCATTGACGTCCATGCTTCAACCCCGACCCTTTTTCTTGTCGACGTTTCAACCTGTTGCCAGTCCTGGGTGGCTCCCTTCCCAGGTATTTGAAAGGTAATCATGATCTTGTCCAACCAGGCAGAGAGAATTGATGGTACCTCACAATCATCCCTACCGAACGACATCGTCACCTGCAGAAGTGTCGTCGGGAAGAGAAGCACCTGATACTCGTCTGCATCAATTTGATGGGGCCGCCCCTTATTCTGGACGGGCCATTGGACCAAAAAAAAAGTAAATTTAAGTAAGAAAAATAAAATAAAAAGTGGAACCCAAGACAATAAAAAATAAAAAATACAACCAAAATATCCTCCTCCGTATACTCCTTAGCTTTCCACGCCCCACTCTCCTCCTCCTCTCTTTACTCTATACTTTTTTTCTCTTCCCGGCGTCCAAGGTTGTTGGCCGCCCTGCAGCTCCTTTCCCTTTCTGGGGCTTCTGCCCACACCCTTTCATTATTTTCACCCTCCTTTCGCCCCTTCTCCTTCTTTGTCCTCGTTCTTTTTTCTTTCTCCTCTTCCTCTCTTCTCTCTTCATTCCATTCTGCTTCTGCACTTCTTCCAGAGCAACGACTTTGTTCGCTTCTTCCCTCCCCAAACCTTTTACCTTTCGTTGTGATACCCGAGCTTCAAGCTTCGTGCTCTGAGAGCTCTTGTTTTCTGTTGAGATACCCCCTTAAGATACCCAAACGGACGTGACTCTTTATTACGAAGCCACTTCAGCTTCTATTAACAACTTTTAATCTCATCTCTACTATTATAATTACCACTTAATCCCTACCGACAATATGTCCGACGTCCAGAAGCCTGTTGAGGAGACTCCCGCTCCCGCTGCCGCTGCTGCGCCTGTCACCGAAGCGCCTGCTGAGACTCCCGCCACTGAGACTCCTGCTGCTGAGGCTCCCAAGGAAACGGCCGCCGAAAACACTGAGGCTACTCCCGCTGCTGCGGAGGAGAAGAAGGATGAGGCTCCCGCTGAACAGCCCAAGGAACAGGCTAAGGAGGAGGTGACCCCCGCATCGGAGGGTGTCCTCGGTCACAAGGCCCCCGGCCTCGTCAAGTAAGCGCCGCATGTCGCAATGGATCAGCAGTACAAGTGACTAATCACATGGACTATAGGAGCTTGCGCTTCTCCAAGCGCTTCTTCTACTTCAGCGAGGGCGCTGTCGAGGCTAAGCAGCTGTCTGCTTTCCACCAGAATGAGAAGCCCGCTGTTGCCAACCCCATCGCTGCCTGGGCTAGCCAAACCGGCAAGGGTCTTTTGTTCTTCACCAAGCGTGCTGAGGACAAGAACACCCCTACCGGAATCTTCAACTTGGTCAGTATATTGCTTGTTCTGTGAGGGATGTAATACTGACGTGGAGCAGGCTGAGATCACTGATGTCACCAAGGAGGGCGCCAGCGAATTCCTCTTCAAGGTGAATGGCCACAAGCACACCTTCCAGGCTGCCAGTGCCACCGAGCGCGACAGCTGGGTTGCTGCCATTGAGGCCAAGGCTGCTGAGGCCAAGGCTGAGAAGGAGGCCATCACCTCCAGCGAGGGCTACAAGGCTGAGCTCGAGAAGCTGAGTAAGTTTGGATCGTTCCTAAATGGATTGTTATCATGATCTAATATCAAGTAGCCAAGCCCGCTGTTGCTGAGCCCGCCAAGAAGCCCGCTGAGGCTAAGGAGGAGGCTAAGGATGAGGCTGCCCCTACTGAGGAGAACAAGGACAGCAAGTCCAAGAGCCGCTCCCAGTCCCGCAAGCGCGCCAGCATTTTCGGAACTCTCCGTGGCAAGAAGGAAGAGACTGAGGAGAAGAAGGAAGGTGACAAGACCGAAGAGCCCAAGCCCGCTGAGGCCGCTGCCGAGCCTGCTGCTGAAGCATCCGCCGCTGTCGAGACTACTGAAGGTAAATACCAAAGCTATCTCGATTGTCTTTGTGTGAAGCTAACTTTCCTCAAGCCGCCGCTGCTCCTGCTGAGCCTACCGAGAACAAGGAGGACAAGGAAGAGAAGGAAGAGGAAAAGAAGGAGGAGAAGAAGGAAGAGAAGAAGGCTGAGACTAAGTCCAAGCGCACTTCTCTCTTCGGCAACTTCTTCCAGAAGGTTACTAGCCCTTCTCACGAGAAGTCTGAGAAGGAGGCTACCGCTCCTGCTGAAACCCCCGCTGTTGCCAGCACCGCTCCTCAGCTCGACAACCCTGTCGAGGAGGCTTCCGTGAAGCCCATTGAGCCCGAGACTGTGACCGCCCCTGCTGAGGCCGAGGCCGCCAAGGATGCTGCTCCCGCTGCGCCCGCTTCTCCGGCCGCTGAGACTCCCAAGGACAAGCGCCGCACTTCTTTCTTCGGTAACTTCGGTAAGAAGAAGGGTGACTCTGACAACGAGGCTGAGGGCGAGTCCAAGCCCAAGGGCAACAAGCTTGGTGGCCTTTTCCGTAAGCCCAGCAAGGCTGTGAAGTCTGAGCCCAAGGAGCCCGCCACCGAGGCTGAGGCTAAGGCAGAGGGTGCCCCCAAGGAGGCCACCGTTCCTGAGTCTGCTGAGGAGTCCAAGCCCGCCGAGCCTGTCACCACCACTGAGGAGGCTAAGCCCGCCAACGTCTCTTCCACCTCTGCTCCTGTCCAGGCCGCCGCATGAAGTGCTTCTCCAAGCCGCGTCATTGAGTATGAAAACTGGTGGGATCAGTATGGAGTACACACTTAGTGCTTCTACCCCCTAGTGATGAGTGCTCATGATCTCATAATTGAAGACAAAAGAAAAGATCATTAGTAATTGTTTCTTGATATTATTTTGTGTTGATTCCAGTGTCACTGCTTTTGGTGCCTTGCTTCGCAGCGAGGATCTTGCCAAATTGAGTGCCAATGATACCCTCTGCTGCTTTGGCGGTTATTTCCGACTCTGATGTTCTTTTCGCGTCTGGGTCGCATTTCATTCCTTTATGATATCCGTTCCCGCGAGGATCCCTAATTTGGCCTTGCGTGCGTTCCCGCTGTGCGCCGTCCAAACTAGATTGATACCACTGCTATTTGCGTTTTCATCGTTGGTTTAGTTCTGATTGTCTTTCGCCGTTTGATGCTTCGTACTTTGATACCCTATTGGGAGGAAGGATGGTCTTTGCCAGGGCGGGTCCCCCGCTGTGCAAATCGACCCCAATCGTCTACTGTCGTGGGCACGTTCCATGGCGTGCATACGCCGTGTGTACTAGCGCACAGCATCATAGGTAATAGCTAATAGAATCCATAACTTGTCTTTGTACCCGCATCTTCCCTGTAATGATCTACTTTTCCTGAAACTCGTACGTTGCCTTGCATCGAAACTTCATCCACCGTGTGGGTGGCAGTGGAACACTTCCGATTCGAGCCCCATCCCACGGATCCAGAACCCGGAGCAGTAGCGCTGTCCAGTGTCTAATCCTAATTGTAGCCCTGTCATAAGCATGCCGACTAGGATCCGGGATGTACCTTAATTGATCTTGAACATTGAGCTAGCGAATTGGCATCCGAATTTGACACTGTAGATCAACGCCTTGGAATGGATCAACCGAACCCAGGGCTATAAGGCAACTAATTGATCCACATTCCAATAATCTGATTTAGTCCCATTCATCGATGAAATTTACACAGTAGGACCTTGCTTACAAAACTGAACCCGCCCTCCCACCTCAACGCAGTGTCTTACTACGCTTCTGGGGGGTTTTTTTTTTCGGATTACTAAAATGGGTCTAGTTAAGTCCAATTAAGAAGATAGTGATATATAAGAATAGCGCCACCTGGGCAGAGGCATATACCTCCGGCACCACATTCTCCACGGCGGTGATGCCGGTGGAGCTGTATCTATCCGTTGCAATCTAGGGTCAAACATTTGCATGATATATACGACCTAACTTGAGAATCCGTTTCTGCTCGATATCGGAATGTTTTTGGTTGGATGGCTAGTACTCCATATATATCACCCTGTTTGGGTATTCAGGGTGATTGTTGCTTATCAGATGTAAGACTTGCGATCGCCTCCATACAACAGACGTGCTCAATATATCCTTGACTTACTGTTAAGTGTAGTCTGTCACCACAGGCTTCTCGTCGGTAACTGAGTGTCAGACTATATTTAGGATATATCTGAGACGATTAGTGCGCTTGAAGAATTTGAGTTCACTTTCTTCTCCGTATAGATTTCTTCTTTCTATTCTTGGTCCTTTGGATTTGAGACAGTATCTCGTATTATGGGTCAAATTTGGGTTCTGTACAGCATGTTCTTGATGGTGTACCAATGAGGGCCCCAAGAACTCTTGGAACTACTATTTATATATATGAGAGACATATACGGAGTACACATATTGTCCCTCGTTTCAATTTTACTCGCATGTGTTGATATTAATTGTTGGGTTTGGTCGAACGACAAGAGTGCTTAGAACGGGGTGTTCGCTAAATATGGTGGGTGTGTATGTAGTTATAGTAAGATTGATTCCGGCGTTTTGAAGAGAGATGTTTTACTTAGGTTCATACCAGATGTACATATAGGAAGCGAATTAGCACACTCGGATGTACTCTGTCCAAATTCTCCAGAGTATACAAAATTTAAATTCAATAATAAGCGGGACTCGCACGGGACGTACACCTGTTCGTTTTCGCGCCCTGCTTCCTACTCCGTAGATACCGAGTGGGACACATGATCGAGAGGAATCAAGGTTCCAGTACTCCGTATGTACATCAGATGACAACGTCTACATCTGGGGCTCTCTATGCCCATTTCACCGATGACGATGGCTACCTATTCGTGCGCCATTATCCTAAGAAACACGAAGTCGATTCGCAAGGGTGGTCGGCGGATACGCCCGGCGAACATGCAGAATCGAAATACACTTTTTTGCCTCTCGGCGAGACGAGCGAATACTCGATCCGAGTGAAGATTCTTATCTGAGACTAGGCCCGACACCGGGTCAGGTCATAAGATAACGGGTCTCGGTGTTTGCAATAAATAGCAGATTGGGTTAAAAAGTCATATTGGATATTCTCGCCAGTGTCGTTGGTGGAATGAATTTAATATAAAATTCAATCTACTCCGAGGTGCAGTGGTGATTGTGCCATGCTTTTTTTCGGAGTAGATTGGATTACTCCGAGTTAGGGCTGGTGCGCATGGACAGTTTTTATTTTCCCTTCCTTTTTTCCTCTTCTTTTTCCAACTTCTTTCCCTTCGGGTTCTAGTCTAAATGGGGTTCTCGAAACAACGGGACCTCCACTTTGGCAATGGGTTGATCGTTTTCGTGAAATATACACGGTTTCTATCTAGTGCCGAATTTAGATTCCGATAGTGATGTCTTGGGTTTCGTATATTATTATCATATGCATGGAGAATTCCGCCTCAGATGAGGGCGATATTTTTTTTAGTGGTATTCTGGACGGACGATCTTCCCTTCTTTAAAAAGAAGAGGAAAATGGTAAAAAAAGAAAGAACAAGAGAGAAGGCAAAAAAAAAAAAGAAAAAAAAAAAAACGGCTCAAGCGGAAGAGAATTGGGGCTGATAGAGTTTGGAAACACGCCCTTCGACCAAACTAACTGCGCATGGCGGGGAGTGGAAAAGGGAAATTGATCTCCACGCACATTATTAATCCTCGCAAGTCCCTGCTTTTAACCATTCAGAATTCCTGATCGCTTGTAAGCATCATTGCAAACTTGGCCATCATGTAGGATCCTGTAGCCTAAGGCCTCTTACAGCGATAAGTGCGGCTCAGCCCCCATTCCAACGGGAATTGGCTCCATTTGGCGGCGTCCCAATGCAGACCCCGAGACAGCCTGGAGAGGCTGTGAAGGCTGCAAGATGCAGTCGCAGGCGGGCGCTGATGCCTAGACTTCCCCGAGCGTTACCCTCATTGGACAATGGATGTGACGGGTGCAAGACAGGACGCGAACCAGTTTCATCATCTAACTCTTCCTCTAAACACACGTACGCTGAGACTATTGTAGCACTAAAACACTTGGGAAGCGGTGGAGAAGCCAGCCGAGTACGAGGGTCGGTACCCGCTGCGTAACCTGCAAGTGACTTCAGGTTACCGTGCATTCTCTGCGTGGGTGCAGGTATCTTGCTCGTACCCGGCCCCAGGCACCGGAGATGCCTGGGGACACCCGGGCATCCACTTAGTGGATGAAGGGGCCAATCAGAGCCCCGGATGGGCCTATGACTCACACCTGTTGACCGCGTCCATTGGTCTAACGCCCAATACGGTTAGTGTAATAGGCGGGGAAGCGGTCGGCCATGATTGGCTACCCGTCGGATGAAGGGCGCACACACTGCGTTTAAGAAGTGCCTGAATTCCCGTCGCTGCCTTGGGTTCTCTTTTCCTTTTTTTTCTTTCCTCTTCATCTCTTTTCTTCTTTACATCTCAACCACATATTATTTTTTAACACCGTCATCATACAGCCATATACTGAACAAGAACTAGAATATCAAGAAGCGTTCCAAAATGGCCTCTTTCTAAATCCCCCCCAAGGAAAGAGCTCGTCTATCTCTCGTGAGACAGGCATCATAGATCCTCAACGGACTTCGTCTTTTATCAATATATCTTCTTCCCACCCCTCAGAGTCTCCTGTCCCAGGACCTCTGAACTTTAGCACCACCTCGGGTAGCTCAAGTTCTTTGAACAACATTTCTACGTTCGACCTCACGTCGTTCAACACGGATCACCATCAGCAAACATGGCTCCCTACACCCCCGCCCCCGCAGCCTACGGCTCAGAATCTGAATTCCAACAACGACAACAACAGTGCCAACTCCCCACAGGAGGACTTTGTGCTATATCCTCCCCAGCATCCCAGGGACTCTCGTGCGCCAGCACTTCCGAGTACAACCCCTAGATTTCCTGCCAATCATCCATCTCTGGTCCGTCTTGGGCACCTTTCTCGACGACACACACTCAGTTTGCAGCAGCAGCGTCAGCAGCAGCAGCTCTCAGCCTCGCCAGTACAGGTTCCCCGCTTGACCAGACTTGCCTCGCAGTCTACCGGGTTCTCTCTGTCTTCGTCTCATCGGTTTAGTCCCTCCACTAGGAAGCACCTCTTGCGTCTCCACGCAGCGTCCGTTGCTTCGAATTCTCCACCTGCAGTTCTGAATTCTGCGTACCCCAATCGCCCGCCCGTTCCCCTATTCAACAGTCCCGCCAACTCCACCTATCAGAAACGGCAACAAATCCCAATAAATCACCGTCGCATAATGTCTACTCCCAACATCGCTCAAGGTGAGCTTTGGCTGCGCTTCGTTCAATCTCATAAAGGGGCGCATGTTAACATTCCATTAGATCTCCCCGATCTCTTCGATCTTCACGCTGATCGCTTCGGGGACGATTTGGTTCCTACGACGGAGCCCACCATGCTCTCCCCTCATCAAATGACCGCCGGCGTCATGGCAGGTCCCGATTCTCTAGCGGATCTGCCATCTGGCACGATCTCGCCCAAGGATCTGTTCATGGATGCCTCTGCTCCGCCGTCGGCCTCTTTCACCGATTTGAGCACTCCCTCATTCGAGTCCCCAGGATACTTCAGCCAAGAACCTTCCCCCATGTTCGCTACGGACTTGGAACTAGGCCCTGGCGTTGAGGAGTGGGGTTCTCTCTTCCCCAACCAGGATGATTTCTCCTTGGGTCTTGATACCACTGCCCTTGAACTTGCGGCTCTGTCGCAGCCCAAGGTCAAGCCAGATGTCACCCCTGCATCTCCTATGATCCGGACAACATCGTCCCGTGCTACGTCTCCCTCCACTCGTTCAGTGACCAAGCACTCCACTGTGGCCGGTGTGAACGCGCGCCAGAGAAAGCCTCTGCCTCCGATCAAGTTTGATTGTCAGGATCCCGTGGCCATGAAGCGTGCTCGCAATACCGAGGCGGCTCGTAAGTCTCGTGCCCGTAAGCTTGAGCGCCAGGAAGAGATGCAACGCCGGATTGATGAGTTGGAGAAGTCGCTCGAAGAGGCTCAACGTCGTGAGCAATATTGGAAGGCTCTTGCCCAGAACAAGGCCTGAGTGATCTAAAAGTCGGTTTTTTGTTACGTGATATATCATGCTGTTTCTGCAAGTGCTGTTATGAATGGGCTCTGCGGTGGGCGGGGCCTTTGAGCCTCTCGTCAACCCAGATGTCGGATGCAGTCACTGGTGCCTGGAACTGGTCACTGGTGATGTGGCTTCCGACAGGATAAAAGTTTCTATTGTCATATTTAACATATGGTCGTGTGCTAACACTTTCGGACCGTTTTGTCTTGATTATCTCTACTTCTTGCCAGTATTGGCTATCTACTTTTGGCTCATTGTTTTAGTTAACTCTGGGCTTTTGATGTTTCATTACTTCGCAATAGCCGGTTCTGATGTCTCCTGTTTCGCGGGATTGACTCGTGGCTACTAATTCTTTTGGATGTTTTGCTTGATTACTTGGATTGTTTGATGCTTGTGATTTCACGTGTATGAGATTGTCTACGAATCCATCAATCTTGCTCATCAAATTTCTCCCGAGGTAGATCATTCCTTTGCGTAGTATGCATGCAACAAGCTGCAAGTAATCGGAACCCGATGCGGACTCTAGCTTCGACGATCGATATGCATAATGTAGGTTATGTAAAAGGATAGTGTCATCTACATGGAACAATCATGGCATCATAGCTATGCTCCACAAGGAAAGCAGACAAAAACCACCATAAAACACAGCTCAGACTTGCCTTTATAAACTTCACCGTCCAAACCTCTCTCAAACAGAACCATCAATATCATCTAGAGCCATACAACAAGCAAAACCGACATACAACCCCTCAATCCACAAGACCAGCCCACCAACACACACACACACACCTGCCCCCAAGAGCTCGATACCAAAGCCATACACGCGGGTTAGAACCATCCGAACCCATTAATGCCCTGTACCCTCGCTCTGATAGCCAGTGCAGAAGGCGGAACAATAATGAGCAGGCGGTCTCTTTGCCGCTGACTAGAACAAATACTACACGCTTTGGCCTGAGTGAGTCTGGAAACAGGGGAGTGCTGGATGTGCATAGTCTAGAGATCGAGGGGAATTGCACGCCACTTGATGCTGGGTGGATGATAGAAATGGGGGGTTGAGGCTAGATGAGGTGTGGGCTCAGAAGTATCTGATTCCTTGGTTTTATCATCACTGCTGTGTCGGCGTTTTGGGGTGGATTGGTTGGGGGAGTGTGGGAGGGAAGAAGGTTGTTGTTTATGGGGAGAGGAAAAGAGTGTTGTGTTGTAAGTTGGAAAGTTTTATTTAGCTGAGGGTGTCGGTGCCTTTTACTCTACCTTTTTCCATCTTTGCTGTCCGCGAGCCGAATTGGATGGCTCGTTTCTTTTCTCGCGCCACATTTGACATCCCTAGTTTGAAGGCTACTAGGCGAAGGGCGCGCTTCTCTGGGTCGATGCCGGCTGTGGACTCTGTAGGATCATTGCTTTCTGGCTCTGGGAGGCCAAAGCCGCACTTTTCCCAGACAGGGGCTTGCACGGCCCACGAGACGAAGTTTTCGTCGAGGTATGGGAATCGTGCTTCACGGCCCCAGTGTGCTATCACTCGGTTGTCGCGACCTAAATTGCGCTTCCCAAGACGACTGACATCAAGGTTGATTTCGTCAATGAGCCCCTCGAACCCGTTGCGTGAGTATGCTATTCCATGCCGCGCATATCCTGCGAACAGCTCATCGGCTCCCAGACCTGATAAGAGTACTCTAGCAGGGGTTGTGTATGGTTGCGGTTCGGCGTTACCTTGGTGGCTGTCGAGTGCAGATCCTTGTCCACGCGAGGCGAAGTAGAGTGCACATGCGATAGACAGATCCATTTCTGTATTATGCGGCCTCATCAGACGTTTCACTGTGTCACGATGTGCAACCGTCTCCACGTAAGGGATGTCGATTGCAACAAAGCGCCAGTTACGGTTGGGGCAAGTGACTTGAAGCTCTGCGAAGGCTGCGCGGCCAGTAATGCGGTCGGGGCAGTTTTCATACACTGAGCCTAGTTTCGCTTCTTTGCTCGCTGCTGCTGCTACGCGCGGATTTTCGAAGGCGACATTGAGCAAATCGATTGACTCGTTGGCCGGCAGAAGCTCATGCGACAGTCGAGCGAGTATGGCACAGTCAAGTCCCCCGGAGAACAGCACAGCAACCTTTGCGTTGCTCTCTGTGGTGAAACCCGGGGGATCACGTACATTCTGGATTCTGAGTGCAAGAGATGTACGAAGTCTCTGCTCAAGCTCGTTCACGCAAGGCGACTCAACGGTCAGCTGAGGAGGGACGTCCTGCGGAACAGACCTATTCATGGGAGGAATGGGGTTTCTCTGCATGACCATGAGTATGAGTTCCAAGCATAGTGACCAGAAGGGCATACGTACCAGATGACCAGGAGAATCTATGTTCTCCCATGGTAGTGTTTGTATCCTGTCAGGGTTGAAATGAGTAGCACCAGTTTCGGGTGTAGACAAATCCTGCATGACACTGTGTGTGAAATCAATCATATGCACACCAGTTGTGCCAACTTCATCAAAGTGGGTGGATGACGTCCCGTCGCAGAGGCTGCAGATCTTGAAAGCCCCGGTTTCATCAAGGCCTTGAAGTAGGGACCGCCTTCCGAGACAATCCCTGCTGAAGTATAGTTTTGCATTGACAGCATCATAGAATATAAAAGAAAAAGGCCCGGAAATGCTACTGAGAACATCCACAACTCTCTGAACAGCATTTCCACCATCAAGGGCAGTGGATGATCCTGAATTGTAAGACGGCTTCGCAGCTTGTAGTAGTAGATTAAATATCAGTTGGGTATCATTACCTCGAATGGGTTCACCTGCTACTTTCCAGGCGTCACCATTCCAGCAAAGTACGGATTCAGTAATGGTGTCCACAAGAGGCTGGGTGACAACTTGGTCGCCTCTCATCGAAAGGACGGTCGAGACAAAGGTAAGGAAAATCGGTACAGATCTTGTTTGATCTGTGTTGACATCTCGTTGAACTTGTTGAATTTGGAAGCTATCGGGCCCTCGTTTGCGCAATAAACAGCATGTCTCCTCATTGGGAAGTACAGGCCCGGAGGCGCTTAGGGAAAAGAATATTCCACACATTGTAACATTCCGGCCGCGAACGAGGGGTGGTGTTTCTCTCAAATGTAGTAACAGAGAAATGAATGACTCGCGCCGGACCTCGGGGGAACCGTGACCCCGGCGGTGACGTGCAGTCCGTTATACTCTCAACACTGAGGATGATATTCTGACAACTACGTACTAGAGATAACAACAAGTGCTTTCTGTTAAATCCACCTTTAACTAACTACTGGGACGGCTTATTAACAATACTAGCTGCCGTAATACTTTTCCCGCCGATTCCGTTACATCCGCTGTCTCGGCACTTATTGCTGTGATCCTTGACAGCTTCGACTTGGATGTTTATATCATAATGCTCTGTGTCTTCTTCTAAAGAACGTTCACTTCAGCGACCTGATCTATTAATTTATTAGCGTGTATGCGGCTGGCTTATGTCTGCCACAGAACCCTCGAATTCCCCGGCTCCTAGTGGACAAGGGGAGATCTCCTCAAATTTTCACGATGAGGGGCACCAACTAGAGCAACAGGTGACATCAACGAATTCCGAGCCGGCTCGAAAGTCAGAGAATGATGCACTCGCCGATCCGAAGGATACCAAGGAGTTGAATCAAGGCGATATGGAAGCAGATATGCAGAATACCCCGCAAGGTGCAGTTACAGGCTCTCTCCATTCAGTACCTACACCTGTTGCCGACCCGCCAAGTGCAATACCTACCCAACCAGAGTCGCTTCCAGGCCGGATGAAGGGTTTAACAATATCTACAAACACACTGGATCGTTCACCGTCGCCGAACACCGATCAACCCCCTCCCCCACCAGAGAAAGACGACGCATACCTTAACCAGAAACCTCAACCTGCGCCCACTTCCCATTCGTCAACAAAGACATCCTCCGAATGGACTGAAAAGGAACTACCGGAAGTGCCTGAGCGGGGGAAGAAGGCCGATAATGACGGGGTTGGTAGAGATGATGTCTCCCAACCGGAGATTCAAAGCATCATGGAACAATTCCAAGATCCTACGCATGGCGATAGTGAAGAGCTGATAATGTCACCTCGACTGGAGTTAGCTGAGCAATTCTTTGGGGGACAAGGCCACTTTCCTCCTCGGCAGTCCAGCCTTGATCAAAGAAAGGCAGTAGGCGAGGGCGCTCAGGCTTCAGACGTCAAGGTGGGAGCGCCATCCGCTTCTCCCGAGAAACAACATGCCTCGAGCTCTACAAGCATGCACAGGCGATCACTTGTAGAAGAGCCAGCACTGACTCGGCGATCGTCCACATCGACTTTACCTCCCCCACCAGAACCAGAGCCTGACCAACCTTTCGATTTTCATCGGTTCCTGGAACAACTGCGACATCGTACTGCTGACCCGGTGGCGAAGTTCCTACGTTCGTTCCTCCATGAGTTTGGGAAACGACAGTGGATGGTTCATGAGCAAGTTAAGATCATCAGCGATTTCTTAGCTTTCATCACTAATAAGATGGCTATATGTGAAGTTTGGCGTGACGTCTCGGACGGCGAGTTCGATAATGCTAAAGAAGGGATGGAAAAGCTCGTCATGAACAGATTGTATTCACAAACATTTTCCCCGGCTATTCCTTCCCCGCCCACCATTCCAAGAAGTACAAGCCGGAGCAAACGAAGAGAAATGGAGAGACTCCATGGTCCTTGGAGGCGCGGCCAACACCAGGAAGACATTGAGCGGGATGAGGTGCTAGCCCAGAAGATCCGTATCTATAGTTGGGTAAGAGAGGCACATCTTGATATACCACCAGTGGGCTCTCATGGCCGTCGCTTTTTAACTCTCGCCCAACAAGGTAAGTAAATTTTCGTTCTGGTCACAGATATATTACTGACGTCAATTATAGAACTCTCGAAGATTAACAGCTACCGGGCACCCCGTGATAAGGTTATCTGTATCTTGAACTGCTGCAAAGTCATCTTCGGTGAGTGACTATCTAAGGAATGATATGTGTGGACGTCAACTCACAAGGATGCTGCAAGGTCTTCTGAAGAATTCGAAATCATCCGATACTTCAGCCGACTCATTCGTACCCCTTCTGATTTATGTGGTGCTGCATGCCAATCCGGAGCATTTGGTCTCTAACATTCAATATATCCTTCGATTCCGCAATCAAGACAAACTCGGAGGAGAGGCCGGTTACTACTTGTCCTCACTGGTAAACTATATAATGCAAAGCTCGGCAGATTGAGCGAGTAACTGACTGAGATATAGTCCGGCGCCATCCAGTTCATTGAGACCCTGGACAGAACGAGCTTAACAGTGAGTGACGAAGACTTCGAGCGAAATGTTGAAGCTGCCGTCTCGGCCATCGCCCAACAAAATCGTGAGTCGGAGTCGCTAGAGCCGAAGTCGACCCAGCGGTCACAATCTACACCAAGGTCTTCGGTGGATGTTCCACGGGGCCGCAGAGAGGCGACACAATCCAACGATGAAGACAACGCTCCAGTAGCTGGACTCCTGCGTACTATCCAGAAGCCGCTGTCTACCATCGGAAGAATTTTCTCTGACGAGCCCGATTCACAAGAGGAACGACGGACACCGCCAGCGACGAGCTCACCAGTTAGCCCTTCACCACGGCTCAATCCAAATGTTTACCAGCCACCTCGTAACAGTGGTGAGGAGCGACGATCAGGCGAAAGATCCCGCAATGTATCACAGCCACGGCGGGCTAGGACTCATGATGCACAGGATGCTGCTGTTCGACAGGCTAGTGCTGAGGACGCCGAAGCACGGAGGATACAACGTGTTGAGCACAACAATATGGTGGAGACGTTATCGAACATGTTCCCAAATCTAGACCGCGACGTCATTGATGATGTTGTCAAGATGAAGGAGGGCAGGTAAGTGTTTCACCCCCATTGCTCAGATCCGAGACCAAAAGAAAGTGGCTTACGTTTTTCAACAGGGTTGGCCTAGCAGTAGACGCATGTCTTGCTCTTAGTGCAGAGTAAACTCTGCGGGACTGTTCGGTAGTAGCATAATTACTAGACCGGTCCATCGTATGGACTTTGCGCTTTCCGTCTATGATGCCTATGTGGTAGTAGCAATTCATGTACTTATTGCGTGCCTTGAATATGGCACCTACTTGTATTAACTGATGATCACAACTGCCATAGAAAGCGGTGCTTCGATATACCTATCGTGGAGATTTTTATCGTAATCAATGAATTCATTTGTAGTATCCCTGCATACAAAAAGGCCATACCAGGAACAAATATCTCTATCTCGATTAGTATTTAGACAGCCACAAATCCGTTTCACTGCCGCACTTTCAGTAGGGGTCGGCAACGTCAGTCACGGCTCAACGTCCCTTTTTCAAACGTTGCGTAGAAAAACAGTTTAATTGCTTCGCGCTTCGCGCTCCGCGGACCACAATAAATGAAAGATGCCGCATTGTTAAACACGATATCTGTAAAGCTATATAATATGAATATGTAGGGATCCTTGTATATATATCATTATCTATACAGAAATGACTGTTTTATGGCCTGATAGTATTGAAAGTGACGTTGAGACGTTGAGCTGTAGCCGACCGCTGAAGGTAGCAGCGAGACGGGTAACGACCCCTTGCGTCTATAGCCAATCACATCATATAAAAGCCATCTCGCTTACACTAGCGCGCTTTCCAGTGACCCCACTCATCACATAAAAGCCTCTCTCCCCCGACCATCTTTTGAAACTTTTCTTCTTTCTTTTCTTCATACTTACCTTGTTTGGGTGGCTGCGATCAAGAAGGCGGTCCACCACGGATTGGTCCCTGCATTGCACAGCGCGGCGGAACAATCCGTTCAACGGCCTTCGGGTCATTGACAGGCGTATTCTTTGGCACTCTTCTCTCATAGAGAGATACCCTTTTCATCAGTTCTTGAGCTATATGCTCGAGGTTGGAGAAGAGGCTCATCTAGTTTTCCTGTACGTAGCCGTGTACTTTATTAGCTATTTTCGTGTCGAATCTTTATCACCAATGACGAGATGGTATTAGTACTCTATCTACTCCGTGGGAACAGCCGAAATGTAGGGCACCTTTGTTGATGTCTTTGAAAAAGCCCGAACGAACTACGGAGGTGTTGCAAAAGTAATCGAACTGCACCAGTAACATTGGCCTCAGGCGGAGATAAAACCTACTGCTTACAGGCGGGTTTGGCCCGCCTGACACGAACCAGGTACAACAACCACTCACTTTCTGGTTGAAGTTTAATTCTATTGTCCCCACACTTCTTGTCATTCAATTTATATAGTATAGGCACTTGATGATCTCCCTTAGCTCTCGAAACCTACCTTTGCCTTGCCCCTTCTCTACCTAGTGCCATTACCATCAAGCCCTCGTATCTAGTCTGCCTATTTATGAGGCTATTTATGCAACAGAATATGTGTAATTCTCTTTAATCGAGTCACCTAATTCACTCAGGCAAAAAAGGTTACAATTGAATGATGAACGAACATTCAATCAGTTAGGTGATATATATAGGGCGGTTCATACCTAAACCCACATATGCATACCTAAAATGCCTCCCCATGGTCTCAAGCCCGAGAAGCTTTAAATCCTTCAGTCTCCTGAGACAATCTGGGATGCTCCAAATGGCCTTGAGAATTTACACACTTTCAAGTGGATATTTGCCTTTCTTCTGAACGCCTCTAGATTATCTGAAGCCACAGTTCCAGCTGCAGGTTTTAATGGTGTTATTGAGGTGAAAGATGTTATAAAGGTCGATTATCATCAGTATGGTCCGCAGAATGACTAGCAACTCAGGGAGAGCTCAGACCTTAGCGATGGCAAGCTATCGCAGAGGGCAGGTAGGACTTCATGAAAAACACATTATTTGGACTAGTCTAACATGTTTATATAGTTAGATGAACATATCTGTTATCACTACGTCTAAGTATTTTGAACGTTCTGGGTCCGAGTCGATTTGCTGAACTATTATTGATGTGATATTTTGTGATCGCCTTCAGGATAACAACGCTGACAGGCAGTTGAACTGGTTCCCTGAAATGCCTATTTCAACACCAAGCAATTTACTTGCAATGACTATTCAGGGCAAAGCCGACTTGTGTCTCTCCCATGGGAATCACAATAGTGGATTTGATACTACGTTAGTTGTGCTGTATGTTTCTGCCTTGCTTTCATATAATTCAGTTTTTTTTTGGCATAATGGCGAGATAGATAATAGGTCGTTTGAGTTGAGTTGGATGGCCTCCCTTTCTCTTTCACCCCAGCCCCTGACCAAGTTAAGGTTCACAGAGGAATATCATTGGCTCTGGAAGAGTACGCTAAATCGAGGTTCCGGACAATGTAAAATATTAGTCCGGTGTAGAGAGCCAATTGAATAAGGGTTAAAGTTGCCCCACTGTACTTTCACGGGTGCAATGCAGTTACTATCCAGGTTGATGGGCTAACAAACCCCAACTCTATATTTAAACCACCATAATGAGAGTGGGTAGAGACACGATGTGCAAGAAAGAAAAAGAAATACAGGTCCTACCCGGGTTCGAACCGGGGTTATCAGAATATCAATACTGTGATCAAAATCTGAAGTGATAACCACTACACTATAGGGCCTAGAACGGGATTGCCAAAAAAGTATTTTGAGTTGTTCATTATTTAGAAGAAAAGAATTTGCTATCCCTTAATTGTAAAAAGGAATGGGATTAGTTATAAGGCAGTTTGTTATTAAGTCTATTAAGTCATTATCTTCTAGCTCTAAAATCGCCTTGTAGTATAATTTAATACTCGATACCACTGCTATACCACTCACAAGCGTCACACAACCTATCACAGAGTCATAAATTCAAAAAAAAAGAAATATATATATCCAATGTTAGTCTCCTATCCTATCCAATATCAATAAATTATTGTATTTTGTACAATCTAGCGGTCAGCACCCAAAGCTATATATTCAGTAATCTTTGTGTTTGTTATTTTTCCTTTAACAGGTTCAATTACGGACCTCAAGCCAGGAAGAACATGGAATTGTAGTCTATAAAATATTGAACAAGCTTGTAAGTCCTACTTGATCAATAATTAACAACTACAAGGGGTTGCGTAGTGTAGTGGTTATCACTTCAGATTTTGATCACAGTATTGATATTCTGATAACCCCGGTTCGAACCCGGGCGCGACCTTCGTTTTTTTTTTTTTTTTTTTGCGGCACCATACCTGGTCGGAATTCCCAGGATGGTGCTCTTTGCTTTCGATGGATCTTCCTGGCACGATGGAGGGGTTAATGTTATTGCACACTCTCCTAGGCTTGCTTGTGGATTCCCCTCAAAAAGAACTAGAGATAGGTGAATTCATTGCTGTGTCTATTACAAGTTGCCGAGAATAGCTCCAGGGCAAGTAATCAACCAGACATAGTACTGCGCTGCACGAATATCCATGTATCCATATTATTCCACATTTATAGGCATCATAGCATCATAGTATCGTAGCCCTGCAACATGTCCAACTAAACCTCGATAAATAATACCACTGCAGCCAGATTTCGATCATGCACCCCCTTCTCTCTTCGCATATTCCTCTTCCATCCTTTCTTCGTATAGACGGTCCGCCTCCTCTTTGCTTAATGGTATCTCCTCCGATGCAGAGGAGTGTCCAGGGGCCGTGACCGTACCACCAGACCCAGTCCCGAGGACACGACCGGCGCCGCTGTTTGTGGACGAAATGGTTTCAAGCGACGCCTGGCCAGCGGTACCAGTGACGGGGGCGTTCGAAGTATCTTGGTCGCTGTACGTGGGGATAGGCATTTTTTGGAGATATTTGATGGAGAGATAGAGATGTTGGATAGTAGATGGTTTGATGAGAATAGTACGGAGTGAAGATATTCTAGTTCTTGAATGTTTATGTGGGGGTTTCGCGTGAAGTGTGGCAATAGTGAATGACGTCATAAATAAGGAAACTAGTGCCGCTATTTTTTGCACGCCTACCTGTATATCAAGCAGATAAACAATCAAAAACTTGTTTTAAAATCACCTGAGGTCTTCTTTTAACCCATAGAAACGCAACTGGAATGCCTTCCAGAACTTCATTATCGATTCAATGTCATGTATCAAAAATCAGAAGTCTTAGATCATCTTTGAACTAAGTTTACACCTGGAAGTAAGCAAATTTATGCGGAAGGTATCTTGCAAAACTTATTAAGTTCGTGGAGCCCGGGTTATATGGATGTACGGATCAACTTTATGTTTTAAACACCTTTCTCAGTTGCTTCATAGAGCAAGTTTTATCTCACCGGTCCTCTGGTAGTGTAAGAGAAACTTCGATGATTGGCCTGAATCAACCAATACAGACGAACGATTAAAGAGAGCTTAAAAAGTTACTCCGAACAGACTAATCCAGTATGCGAAGGACAAAGATGGGAAGGCATGGGAAACCGTTGTGAAGAATATGGAAGAAGCAAGGAAGGAGAGTTTAGCGGAGCTAACCAAAGGTCCCTGGGCAGAAGTAGATGCAGCAATGCTAGTAGCTGGATTCTGGGATTGTGACTACGGTTGCAAATTTTCTATCCACTTGGATAATGCGTTGCTAGATGCGAAGGAGATGAGTGAAGCAGAGCTGAGGATGTTAGTGGAAAGTTTCTTGTGCAGTAGCATCGCGGCATTAATTGCAGTCTCAAATTAAAATAGACAAAAGAGCAAAATGCAGACTCGCGTGTGCGTACTGCAGTAACTGATATTCTGGTACCATACATGAACGGAAACCATTTGCAAGGTTGAACTGCAAAATTGTACTGGTGAGAAGACAGCATATCTCATAACGTTGTGCTCGATAAATTTTCCCCTTTGATATCATGAATCAACACTGAAAATTATCTCGCCGACGAGGTTCAATCAGTAGTTCCATCCCTTCAAAATGTTAAGCTGACAAGAAACAGATAGAGACATGATCATGAAACACTTCACTTGGACACATTGGTTAAGTCTGCTCTCAGCTTCTCCAATAGTGGATGGCTTGCTAGCTCTTCAAGTCGTGTAGTTGCAACATGGTATTCCTCTTGGGCATCACCAACGCCGAGGAGATTCTCAGACGGATTATTCTTAAGATGTTGGCTCAACGAGACGGGTTTTTGTTTTTGCGAAATGGTTGTAGGATCTGTCTCTCCATAGATATGTTCAACAGGCAGAATTTGAGCGCTCCAAAACCTGAGAGCTCCATCCTTTGCTAGATGTTTGGTATCTTCAAGTGAAGAGCGGCAGGTTTTGTCGTGGAACAGATTGGATTTGACCGTGTTGTAACTTTGTACCTTAATCTCATTCATTGCAGATGTTTCCTTTTGCATATAACTCAAATCGTGGGCGACATCACTCTGAAAATTTGCGAAGAGCGGACTCTGGTCTACAATCTGACGGACCTCTTCTTGCGACAACATAGCATCATCATACTGGCCGCTTAACCGTAAAAGCTTTTATCAAGTGCAGAAACTGTATAGGGGTTGGTGGGCCTTAGTTTATCCTCAAAGAACGTGGCAACTCCCTGCTGCAACTTGAGTGCCGGGATGTATACCTTAGACTCGAAGTTTCTATCCTTTTCGGCCGCTGTTGCTTCCTCACTCGTGCCCAAGGAGTCGAGATACCCCAGCTTTTGAACTGTTCCAGCTGCAATTACTTCCCCGGCTAGCTCCATATCCTGTAGCACATTCGCAGCCTTATCCTTTTTCTCCGTCGGAAACGATAGGTACCCCTCTTGAATCGCCACTACTAAGATGTTCGGGCGCTGTACGTGAATTAGGTTAGCACAATATCGGTCTTGGAAATGGCATAAGTGCGCGAGAGAGCTCGAGCCAACAGGAAGCGTTCTGATTCTGGTCATTGGCACTTGCCTTTGAGTCGATGAAGCAGTTTAGCGCAAGCCTCGAGCTTTTCCTTCTCCTTTTCGCCTTCAAGGTAATCGTGTGTCGCAATAGCAATTTCCTCTGCCTTTGCCCACTCTTGTAAGCTGATGTTTTCTATTCCTGAGGCATTGAATCTGAAGTACCTTCCTTCAAGGTCTTTTCCCTTCAGGGTTTGGAACGTCTCAGCTATCATCTCAGCGGACGTTGCTACATTCAAGAGCCACCTCACAAAGTCTACCATCTTATTTCCCCAAGTTGGGAACCCTGCCCCGGTCCCGATACTCACTAAGCAGCCTATGTTTTTACCCATTATAGACGCCTCATTATAGGCGGCAATGATAGGATGATTGTATCCCAGTCCACCGTCGATATAGCTCCTGGGTGGAACACCCAGATTAACTGGTGGGAACATAAAAGGAGCGGCACTTGTCGCGAGGCAGGCTTCCCAAATTTGACAGTTAATGCTGTCATCATCCCCGGAGTAGCTCCTTAGACGACAGTGTTGGAGTTTTTTTGGGTCTTGGCGGTTGACGCATAAAGCCCTATCGACGGTTTTTTGAGACTGGTGCGAAGATGAGACAAGGACTTTACTTACACTTTGGACACATGCTCTTTGTCATATTTCATTACAACGTCGTTCCCTTTGTTTAGATGCAACCTAACCAGTTGTTTGACGACTTTGGCAAATGGCTCTGGGTCAAACATGTGGCGTTCCCTTGTGAAACGGAGACCTGAAGCGAACTTGTCTCGTGGAAAGATATTTGGAGCTATTTCTGTATACTGGCTTATACACGCAGGGATATCCATGTGAAGCATGCCCAGCATAACAGCAATCAGCCTGCAACCATTAGCATGTAAACTGGTCAAGGGTAGTATAAACCCACCCTCCTGTTGATGTGCCAACTATCACATCGAAGTATTCGTAAGGTTTAATACCATCTCTTCCCTCGAGATGACTGATTTTATCCATCAGATTTTGGAGTATGTAAAGACTTGAAAGACCGCGTATGCCTCCTCCATCTATTAATACTGTTAGTAATCGGTTGGTAACGTATGGCTTTGACATGTGTACCAAGTGAGAGTATTCTCAAAGGCCTAGCAGAATCGTCCATGGTACCCACAGTGCGCTTTTCTTGTAATCGTGCCTAGTCTAAAATCGGGGTCTTGGGCAAGGATGCTGGAAAACATAGTTGATATAGGGACTTTACAAATGTCTATATACCTAGGCACACTCAATCACCAGAAATAGTTCCCCAGTACGCTAGAGCTTATTTCTCTTAGAGGTCAATCGTGGTGTGGTGGCGATGAAAAGTCATAGACAATTTCAACAGATGAAATACTATAGGCCAGGTAGTTCTATCATTTCTAGTAAACTTTCGTTTCCGTCAAATCTGACACTAAACCTGCGAACCCTCGTACTTGCCCAGCCATGTTATCCCTCAGGGGTGGAGGAACCGTCGGTCTGTCACCAACTGGACCGTTCGTGTTACGAAGTAGAGTACCCTTAACATATAGTGCCCGGTTATTGAATGCGAAGGCTTAAAGTTAGTCCGTCCACTGCCTTCTGGAAAAGTGAAAAAGAGGGGCAACGAAGTGGCCTGACGTGTCGACGTAGGCGGCTGTCATCGCTTATTGTATTCTTCCAATAATCATTGATAATTGTACAGGCCGCTTCGTATTGTGACCAGTTTCAGGCTTCGCAAAGATTGGATCCATGTTGGTAAAAAAAAAAAATACTTTTTAAAGTATGTGAAAGCTCAACTTAGTAATAGGGGCTCTCGTCTACGTTTATCTTGTATCGCTTATCGGATCTATAGCATTATACCAATAGTACCCGAGAAGTACTCAGGAATGAGTAAGTGTAGGCTAGGGCCAAATGGCAAAGTCAAGAATCAAAGATTGCACTTGACCATCCCTCCCTCTTATAAGAGCCATAAGAACAACAACAACATCAATAACATCAAAAATAGTAACAATGATAAGACTTGGCGAAACCAGTTTCGTTTGGTACATACAATGAAGGAGCAAGTGACTCGGTCATTTCAAGGCTCTTATCAAAATAGTCAAAGCATCACGAGGAACAAAAACTCCTCCGGGTTTAGGCTTCCACTCCGGAGATCTTGAAGCCGCCAGGGAATCGGGTCTGAAATGCTGCCGTCGGATCATATTTAGCCACGACCTTTCGCATGTAGTCCACATTCTCCTTGGGGTAGCTCCCAAGGGGATTCTGCGAAAAAGAAGTCGCAGTCTCATAGATTGTCTTAGCGTCTGTATTATCCTGATTGGCCCAAGTGTTGAATCACTACTGAGAGTTGTCTATTGCAGGCGCGTCTATCTGAAGTAGCAGTTCACCAACTAAAGAGCATTTGTCAACTCTATAGAGTAACTATAAGGACCAGATCATGGTGTGCCTAATCGAGTTTAGCGGACGGTGCATCTACTTATCACGTGGTAAAAACGTTCTCCTCGAAAAAAAGTCTCTCACCCTCCGTTTCGAACCCGCTCCACTATTAGAATGCCATTTTGGATCTCTTGACACTCCTACCTCTATATCGAATGGATAAATGTTAAAAAAAAACTGGTAGCTTCTCTTTGATTGAGCGTGTCATCCTTAGTGCAGGGGCCATGCTAATCTTCTCTGTATCGTTTCAAATTGACCAAATGCCCGAAGGCACTTGATTATCTTTACAATGATTTATATACCCTTCAGTTTCTGAATTTGAGCTGTCTGATTGGCTAATTGTTTAGTCAGGCGGGAAGCGTTGGCTTACATAAGTGGGAACACCAAATGCGAAAACCCCGCTTGCCGCCTGTGAATAACCCCTGTATGATGGCAACGAGGTTGGTATTGTTTTTCTGTGTATTGAATGCTTAGAGCCTTGGAGTAGTCCAGAATACGATAGATAATAATTCAATGCACCGAGTCCTTACTTTGTGGTATGTATACGTCTTGAGTAGCTGGGGTGCCCGGGTTCTGCGTACTCTTGGAGCAAATATATCGCCTAAAGAGAGTGGTTGCTAATCATGTTCCAAGAGAGAGAAAAGAAAAGAAAAAAAAAAAAAGAAAAATAATACAATAAAATTAGCTGGGACTCTAGAAAGTCCAGGATTTGACCAAAGACGAAGAAGACGCATGAAAATGAACAAAAAAGCAAACCCACAGTCGAATTTCGAAAGAGAAGTGAACCAGCAAATCTAAAGTGTGGTCCGAGTGGTCCCTCGTATTTCCGTTTGAATGCGCGGGGACTATTGGCTCGGGGCTTATTTGACCACGGGCAACTCCTACCTACGGAGTACTCCAAGTAGTAGCAAGATCAGGGGTCTCGAGTGGGATAGATTTCCAACCTCCCCTTTGCCTCCCCAATTTCAACAAGAGAAGGTATACTCCGTAGACCTATATCGAAAAGGGGTCCAAGATGCAAGATGCCTGACCGTTAACGCGTTCTCGATATTTGCGGTGATGTGCGCCGCAAGACCCACGCTGTGCTATTCCTGTTCCTGATGCAGATCTTCCCGACTCGATCTCGTCCTAATAGGCTAGTTCGACGAGAGTTTATACATCGACTAGTACAACTACAGTCGGTTGGAGCCCAAGATCCTTCATTTCCGTAATACGAGATGATGAGCCTCATCCCACTGCACCAGCCCCTTTTGACTGTGGATCTACGCTGATCCGCGGAAAACCATCAACAGTGTGGATTACGGTTGGTCCCTGGACCTCGAAAAGACGTCTATTCTAGGGCTCGGCTCCAGATAGGTGAGAGAGATGTCAATCACGAGTTTAAACACGAGCAGGAGTTTCTTGGAGCGGGTTGATCACTGCCTACGGGAGACGTATAGCGCGAGATTGATACCACCTCTGGAAAAGCCGCCTGGATGTTGAGAAGTTTGATCGTACATTCGTGTGCTTCCACAATTTGTCTCGGGGCTATATAAATCATCGGTGTCACCATGCAGGACAGGATCCTCAAGCGCTCATTCATTCCTTTCGTTCATTAAATTTAACTGGACATACGTTATTTTTTTGCTTAAAGCAAGAAGTTCATATACAATATCCTCTTTGTTTCCTAACGTTATTTATATTATATAACAATGCAGTTCAAGACGCTTCCCTTCCTTATGTTGGCTGCTACAGCCCTGGCTGCCCCTGAAGCCCAGCCAGCGGACACGGACAGTGCTCAATCCTACATTGACAATCTTGAAAGCCTGTGAGTACTGATGCCAGCCAGAAAGTTAGAATGACTGCTGACACGTAACAGTGCTACCCAGACCGAATTGCCCGAAGGCATGCCAACCAACATGCCCTCGATCAATACGCCTCCCCCTTCCATCATGTCGGTGCTCATGACTGCCGTCCCTCCTTCTCTCCTCCAAGATATGGGCAACGACGCTTCTCGATCGTCATTTGCTAGTGAGATCAGTGCCGGTCACTATCCCGACTGGTACAAGAGCCTCCCCGGCGATGTCAAGACCTTCATCGCGACTGCCTACCAAACCGACGCGCAGGCCACTGGTGCGCAGAAGACCGGCGATTCCACCGCTACTAGCGGACCTAAGGCGACCGGTAGTTCTGGGTCTGACTCCAAGTCTTCTACTTCGGAGGCTGGTGCTGCCCCTACTGGTGCTGTTGCAGTTGGCTTGGCCGGTGCTGCTGGTATCCTTGGCCTTGCTATTGCACTGTGAGATTCTCGACTCTGGCCGTTCTCATTGGCCGCACCCGAAAGAAGGAAAAAATAGATATATCCCACTTATTGCCATAATCTAATGCATTATTATGCCTTTTCGGCTTAATATTTGATTCTCTAAAGATAGCAGTGTTATTCGTGACTCACCTTGCGTAATCTGTAGAAAGCAAAACCCCTTTCTTTTAGGGCTTTCATGAAACGTGACCGACTTGGTTAAGCTTTGACTACCACTGCCCAGCACTGGGCAAATGCCCGAGAATGCCAAGGCTGCGTCCAATGAGAGATTTGCTGACATATAACTGCGCCTACCGGTGTTTGCTGGTGCGAAGTGCCTCAAATCTTGGTTCATATATCTATGCATATCTCCGATGTGACCGAGCTTGGTTAAGTCCGAGCAAACCAACAGCTACTGGGAAGGCCAATGAAAAGGCGTACATATAAGTTTGCCTAAAGTTCAATTTCCTTTATTCGGTGTATTCAAAAGTAATTCCGAGTCCGACGGCAAACCGACATCATAGTACTCGTCCAGTCTGATGCAGCCAGAGAACCTTCTTCCAAACATCCACCACTCACAGTCTCCCTAATTGTAATCAGCTCAGACGTCGCGCCAATCACCGTGACTCTATTCGCAAACCTGGATCGCTGTCGCACTGTCCAGTTTAAATTGGAGAAAGGATCTTCGAGGGCTGACTATTAACGGAGATGTGATTGGCCGGGCCGCAGGGAGACCTGGGCCGTGTGTTTTGGAATAGAAGAATGTAAGATTTTTACCTGGAGGTGATGGAGTTCCTATAAATAAGAAAGAGCTAAACCTCAAGAAAAATCTCCCTCATCGATTATCCATTGCTATTTATTCCATTCTCCTTCGTAAAGACTCATTGTGTGCAGGATAATTGGAAGCTTATACACGGCGGAAGTCTAGATTGGGCCATTTATCTGCCGTTCTGACGTCAGTGTCACTGCCGGCATTTCATTTTGCTTACTTCCTTCCTCTTTCGTCGGGGTCGGATCGACACTGTATAGGGAAAAAACAGTTTTCATACTTCTCTATAATCTCTGTGTTCTCTTCCTCCAACAACACATCGCCATGGCGCTATTATTTCTGAAACAAAAATTATTTCCCGGCGAAGATAAACGTTCCGCCGGTAAACTTGGTATGTCTACATCTACAATCACGTACGGATGGGAATAAAGGCTGACTTGAGCTCAGGGAAACCCTTACTCGCACCAGATGACTCCACCCTTCACAGCGACCAGGATGACATCGAATCGCAACGGTCCTATAGCACATTCCGTCCTTCATCCCCTACATCCGAATCAGGAAGCACCAGCAGTTCACGCTCACGGATCAACCCGCGAATCGTGTCGGACGCCATCTTGGGCCTCTCAGATGGGCTCACCGTGCCCTTCGCACTGAGCGCCGGCCTTTCAGCGTTCGGAAACACCAAAGTCGTCGTCCTAGGCGGCCTTGCCGAACTTGCAGCCGGTGCTATATCCATGGGCCTGGGCGGCTACGTCGGTGCGAAGAGCGAAGCGTAAGTCCTTCCTTGTAGTATAGCAAAATAGGATGGGATCACAACATACTAACAAAAGTTGACAAATAGAGAATCATACGAGACAACAGTACGCGAAACAAAAGAACTCATTGAAACCTCTCCCGCCGAAACATCATCCATTGTCCGCGATATTTTTTCCGCATATGCACTCCCCGAAGAGGCAATTGCTCAGATCAATACCTCACTGCACGCTTCTCATGACCGGCTTCTAGATTTCCTCATCACATTTTATCACAAGGAGTCCGAGCCGGATTGTAACCAGGCTTGGATCTCGGCTGTTACGCTTGCGCTGGGTTACTTTGTAGGTGGATTCATTCCGCTTATACCGTATTTCATCTTTCATCAGGTTATTGTTGCCCTTTACTGGAGTATTGGGGTGATGGCAATTACGCTGTTGGCCTTTGGGTATATCAAGACGTGTGTGGTAAGGGGGTGGAAGGGGAGGGAGAACATCGCCGCGGGCATCAAAGGCGGAGTGCAGATGTGTTTTGTTGGCGGTGTCGCGGCGGGAGCTGCGATTGCCCTGTTAAGGATGTTCGGCGGTGGTGCTTGAGTAGTATCTAGAGGTATTTCGGGCATTTCTTGACTTAATGTGCACGATAGACAGCGACGGGCGTTCGGGATGGGAAAATTAGCCATGGTACTCGATTCTAATAGACGACTAATATCCAACTAGCATCACAATATAATATCTCTACTTGAATATCTCATTGAACAGCATTATATACAATAACTAGCGAAAGCATTAGTTTAGCCCTCCAAAGCCTTGACAACCAACCCCGTCGCCTCCTCAGACATGTCAATCTTTAGAGCCAAATTACGTCCCTCCTCCGACATCTTAGCCCACGTCTTTCTCAAAATCACCAATATCTTCTCCTCCTCATACCCTTTCTTGAACTCCTCAAACTGGTCATCCAAGAATACCAAACAAGCCACATCTTCCAACACCTGTGTCTCCGAATCGCTCTTCAGCCCCTCCTTCCTCACCAACGCCGCCACCCTCCCAGCCTCCTCCGCCGAATAGCCCGCCTCCAAACAGATCCCCTCCGCGATCTCCGCCTGCCGCTTCTGCAGACCGCTCCGCCAGGAATGGTACCCGATTTTAGTCATAGGATACGAAGACCGCGGGACCTCCCAGCGCTTGAGGTGCTGGGCACGAATCGCCAGACGGAGGGTGTCGGGCGCAGAGGGGCAGCGGAGGGAAAGGTATTTGGTCATTTTGTTGGCATAGTGGAGTTCGTAGGGGATTGGTGTGGGGGAGCCGGGAGGGGTGATGGTTTTGGGGTCTTGCGCGTGCGCGGCGTCGATGAGCTCCAGGGCTTTGGAGTATTTGTCCATTATTATCGTGGGTGGGTGGGCTCGAGGGTGTCAGGTAGTAGTAGTAGTAGTAGTAGTAGTAGTAGTA